AGCAGGAATTTTGGGCTTCACTCTTCACACCCTCCTTATGCCAGGGGACAGCAGGGTTCAGCCATCTGCCCCTCGCACACCCCAGCCCCCTGTGCCTGGCAGGCACAGCAGTGCAAGTTCCTGCCCTCCCTTTGCTACAGAGAGTGACTGAGTGTCCACTGGAGGAGGGACAAGATGCTTCCTACAGGCTGTTGGCAGAAGCTTCTGGGTAGACTTGGGACTGCAAAGGGAGAAGGGACATTGCTCCTTAGCGTGGGCCACAAGCTGCTGCAGATTTTTCTGTAGACAGTGTTATAAAAGACTACTGAAAACCTGAACAAAACCAATATTTTCATAGGTTTGACATTGCTCACCTCAAGAAGGAAATTTTCAAAGTTTCTTTCACCAATGAAACAGACTCCCATACTCTGAAAAGGAAACATGGTATTGAAACTGTAAAAGCAGAGAACATTTGAAATAATGTCTATTAATAATCTGCCCAAGATGGGCTTCCCCCCATGTATCCCAAACTAGGCTAGACATCTCATAAAACAAAGATAACCACAACATCTGCTCCAGCACACCCAAACTAACTCTATATAGTACCAGTGAGAGCTGTAAGCACAGAAGAGAAATAGTAGGAAACAGAACACATGTTCAGTACATAAATACCTTAACCTCAGTGACTATATTGTATGTGTATTAAAAACACAAGTCTGTTTCAGATTAAAGTACAAAAGAAACAAATTATACAGTAGTGATGTATCCCTTGAAACACCCACTTACAGTGGACAAATACAAGCATTAAAAGCAATCAAGACAGCATCAGCAATACCACTGCTGCCTGCATTACATTTTTTAGGATCAACTCATGAAACATTAGTGCTCAGAGAAACAGTTTTTTCTTTAAAGTGTAACTGTGGAAAAACAATGATCCAATTTCTATAAAGACATACTGAAAAACAATTATAGTGAGGAAGCCTTTAAAAGCTATGGAAAAAAAAGACCAAAGCCTTCTCAGCTGCTGGGATAGAGAATGCTTTCCTTATGGCTCACAGCATCCTAGCACACCTTCATCTTAGTTCTTCTGGAATACAATAGTAGATGAATTATCTGCAAGCTAAAATACAAAACTAACCACAGGCTCCTAAAATTACTTTTGAGCCAGTAGAGAGCTACAAAACAGCTCCCAGCCTATTCTATTATGGCGCTCGGAAACACACGAGTTGTCACAGTTTAAAGTTCAGAAAGCTCAAGGAAACCTGTGTTAGAGAGAATACAAATCAAAAGAGTTTAAGTGTTACCATGCCTCTTTTTTCTTTAGCACGTGATGAAGGCCATGTTCCGCTGCTATCTTCTTTACAAAACTTTTTGTTAAATCCCCCAAAGGGAAAATGGTTTTCCTCAAAGCATCCTGTGAGATTTGACTCAGAAAGAAGGTCTGGTCCTTAAAGAGGTCAGCCCCTTGAAGGAGTTTCACAGCTGCAAAGTGCAGAACATATAAAACATCTCAACGTAAGCTCCTTTAATACTTCAACTTCCTTTAGTATTTTACTTGACAATCAGCATTTTACTCTTAACATTTCCAAATGCACATTAAAGATAGTACTTTTCAGGTTTTTTAAAATCTAACTGAACATGTTTGGGCATTTTCTCACCACTAAAAAGATTTAGAAAGATCCTGATCTCATACAAAGCAGAATCTTACAAAGCCTTTTACTGCCTCAGCTGTGCCAATGCTGAACATGTCCTTGACAAAGAACAAACAGTATGAAAAAGGGACACAACTTTCATATGTGAAAGAGAATGAAAATTCAGATATCTTACATTGTTCTTCAGAAAGACATCCCGTTTTGCCCCAAAGTCACACAGCTACAAATCAATTATTTGAACCATCAGCAGAGTTATTCTCAAGGCTCAGAGAGGAAAGTTTAACTTTTTTCTTTAAAACAGATGAAGTCTCCTGATTTCCCAGACACAACCAAATTGGTATAGTTCTCTCAGTCACGTTCTGTCTTTAAGAGCCAGTAGCTCTGTTGTTGTACAAACTCTGCTTATGTGTTTCTTAACTCAAACACTAACTACAGGCCAATAGCTCAGTCACAAATGACAGACCAGCTCACCAACAGGGCAGGAAGCCTGTTTAGGACATCACAAAATACTACCACTGTCATTCACAGTCTGTCACAAGTACAGACCGTTGCTCCCACTGGAGCCATTTCAACTTTCCAGAAATACAATTAAAGCAAAGAAACAAAAATCCTTTAAGTGCAGAACAAACAAATGAAAGAAGGAAAGCTGTGCCACAAAAACATCACCATGGCAGCTCTGCACAGTGGCATTTGCAAGTTTTTCTTTTGGGTACAGCATGCTTCTTATTTTACAATAAAGCTTCATCTGAGCTACTTGACTGCATTAAGGCTTACAGCAGAGCTGTTTGGGAACTCTCTACATTGCCATCCAAGCTGCCATGCAGATACAGGGCCATGCAGAGCCATACTCAAACCAGCAACCAGCTGGCCTTGGTCGTGGTAAGAAGAGAACCACTGTGGTGCTGAAGTCAGCCTCTGATGAGGTACAGCCACAGGCAGGCTATTAAAGGGAAGAGCAGAACCTGCACTGCTGCTACGAGCACCTTTGCTGACCTGAGAATCGTGGCCTTAAAAATGTCTGCACGTGCTGCACTTGCACTTTGCAATTACAGTGCAGGCAGAACCTCGACCTGCCTGGAGAAACCAGGCTGCTACAGGAGAGCAGAGACATACAGCAGAATAGTCAAATTAACAAAGAACAACCTGATTTTTTTCCAGTAAAATAGTATGCAGTCCAATTACTGTATAAAAGTATGCTACTCATTTCAATGTTTCAAAACCTTAATTCTAAAATTCCACTTAAGCAAACTCCATGATGAGTTTTATCCATGCTATATACTGAGTAGCCAAAGAATACATTCCCTAAAACAGCAGGAACGTTAAAAATTTTATTTTTAAAGATAATTTTATTTATGTCATGGAAATACTTGATGCAGATTTCTTGTAATATTTCTCCAGGCTACAGAAGATAGCCCTGTTTCTTTAATCCACACTGCAGCTCCTCCAGAATGCAAACTCTTACCAAAAGGCTCATTCTTATTCATGTTTTTTTCACCTGGATTAGAACTCTTAAAATAGAAAATGTAATCATTGATTAGTTGGGGTACTTTTCAGTAATGTAAATCCCAATGTTTTGTGCAACCCACCCTCTAGAAAGGACGGGGTTTAAATGATAATCATTGCAACGTAACGAACACTCCTGAGTCTGTAACACCAAATGTAGTTTAAATTTCTCCTTCATACCTAGGACGAAATATGTAATGAAGAAACCACTTACTATTTCTAACTTCAAAACGGTTTCTGAAAAGCCTTTGTGGCCTTTTAATATGTTTCTGTTGAAACACTTCCTCATCCTCTAGTGAGGTCCTTGCATAATGCCCAGTGGCAATTGCATCTGCTCCTGTCAAGAAAAAAAAAAAAAACACACAAACCATAAAGGCACATATTTGAAATTCACCATTTAAAACAGGACTATAAACATCCAGTAAGAAAAGCAGAAAACAATGAGGGAATAAAACCTATAAAGAAAATGCCTTACCAAGGTTATCCATAGCATAATGAAGAAAGTAGTTGAATTTGATGTGCTTGTTACACACAATATCAGGATTAGGAGTCCTTCCCAGTTCATATTCTTTTAAGAGGTCACTGTAAAATAAAGATTTAAATATCTATCAACATTATTAACACTGCATAATACTATCCCAGGACTGATCTGTTTAAACATGAGAACTTGGGACCCAGTCATACCAAGCATTAAATCTAAGAAATAAAACACTCATTAGATTTCAACCTGTTAAAAAAAAAAAATGCTTGGAAGAGTTTTTCTACAGTGCACTGAGGACATGGTCAAATGATCACTCTTGTAATCTTGTAACCCTGCTTTATTACAGTGCTACTCTCTCAGTGGACACAGTAGCACACTGTGCACATCCTGCTCAGCCAAGCACAAAGCACTTACTTTCAGAAATAAACAGCCATGTTTAACTTTGCCAAGTGACAGGGCAGTGGAATACACACCAGGAGTGCTCTGTCTCAGCTACATGGACAGTAACCTCACCTGCAGTAAACGCCTCCATAAGCAGTCACGGGGATTAATTTTATACAGATTTTTTTTTTCTGTCTTTTTTTTTCCTTCAAGAAGTTAAAATAGTTTCTCAAAGTCATGTTGTAGTTTCACACTGTCACACAGTTAAAGGGCTAGGCACTAGCTGTTTGGAAACGTTGAACTAACCACTAATGAAATTAAACCAGCCCACAGTGATGCACTGAGTGAGATATCAAAAGCTCTGACCACTGCATCATTTTGCTTCTCCTCAGGAGTCACTGAAGTCAAAAGGAACTGAGGGTACAGACAGGATTAAAAGACCACCAGCAACCCTAGTACTGTGTTTTACTTTTCACCATTGGAGGCAGAATCAACTGCTTCTTCCTCCCGTGCTAGTCGTTACGCTCATAAACAGAAAAAAAAAAAAGTCACATTTCTTTTATTTTCCCTAACTCCATTTTTACAGTTCTGAACTGAACAACACATACGAATAATTAAATCACTCAGGTCTACCCAGAGCTGCCTCAGCACTTTACTCTTATGGTAACACAACACCCCTTTGTTGGAACAATTTTTAGGTACTTCTGTTGAGTGCATAAAAGATGAATTACGTTGTTATGGCAACACTTCCCTTGTCCTACCTCCCAAGAAAAAAATCCTGGTTTCTCCTGTGTACCACTTCCTTCCCTGAAATGGGAAGGAAGAAAACCTCACAGAAAACCTCAACGCTCTCTGGAAGTTTAGAGAAGCAAGGGCAGTTCATGATCACTCTGTGGTGAACTGGAGCCAGTCTACATGAACTCAAAACGCACAGCACAGATGACAGCAGTAATGACAACTTGTTCATGAACGTTCTTCTCCAGTTGCAATAGTGCTGGGCCCATATGCATAAAGCAGAAGAAACAAGCCATAACAAAGCAACTGCTACCCACTCCTAACAACAACCAGGGTGAAATCTGCTTCAGAAATGACAAACGTACTAAAAGCGATATATAAACTCTGATCTTAACTATGAATGAGAGAAAAAACAACTCCTCCTATACTGAAGAGGTTTCAGTGCTTTCTCTTAGTACTGGTAACTCGCAGGCAATGGCCTCTGCCCGTTTGCTGCCTGTCCTTGCTGCCCACAAGACACGACAGGCACCAAGGTGCCATTTCAAACGCGCTGCTACCTGAACACCTCATTCCAGTACTCCTTCACGTAGGACACCTGGTGAAAAGGGACATCCAGCTTCTGACAAACCCGGTACGCGTCCTCACAGTCCCTGTCAACGGAGCAAGCGCCTTGCTCATCCAGAGGGTCCCAGTTCTTCATAAAGACGCCGGTCACCTGGTAGCCTACAAAAGGAAGGAAATGACTTAGAAAGTAAAATTCCTACAGCAAACGCCACCCCACCCCCCAAAATGTGTTTTTTAAGACTTGAGTGGCTACTTGCAGCCCACGGGAGCAGTGCTGTACTAAACAAGGGTCCCGTGAAGTTTTATAGCACGGTTCTCATTATTTTTTTAGATTTTGCCCCAGCTGACAGGAACCCGGGCTTTTCCGGCACCCTAACTCCGCGCTCCTCCAGCCCTCCCCAGCGCCCCGAGGGGCCGCTCCAA